AACCTAATATAATGATCCACTGTCTCATTATTGTCACGATTTTGCACACTGTGTCAGGTTAATTTACCTTTGCCAAAATACCCTTTGAACTTTATTATGGGTAGTTAAAACATAAAACATTTTTGCTTTAATTTGTAGAGCTAAGGCACATCACAATAGTGAAGTGTTTTAAACATTTATACAAGGTACAACATATAAAAAAAACTGTTTTCTCTTAATTCCCGACCACTCACTACTTTTATCATGTAAATATGTTATAATTATTTGCAAACCTGTGGACCTATAGGGTTAGGTTAGTTGAGGTTAAAAATTAGAAAATAAGACTTCAATTGTGTATTGTTTCATAAAAACTAAGTAGTGGTAACGAAATAAGGGAAAAGATCCCAATATACCCCTTATGTTTCATATATGTTTTATGTTTTAACCACCCATATATAACATAAATAAAATTACTTTTGACAAGACCAAAGTTTTTACCATAGCTACGATTAAATAGCTATTAAAACTCATTCCCAAAAAATCAACGACATTTAAATTTGTAACAGTTCTTGATAAAAAAATGTGATTTTAACAAAATTATCAAAATAAACAGTGCCAACACAAAACCGAACACAACTCATGTCAATACACAAATCAAAACACACATGTATAAACACATTTTTTGAACAAGCATGTTGAGACTGGTTGGTGCAGGAATACTTTCCAACAGATCACAGATCTTATAATATATATAGTGGAGCCCTCTCCAAGAAGCGTCCTGTCGTTCTTCGTTAAAACTATTTTATAAGCAGCCATCACTACTACTCCCACAGCACTGAGCACTTTTGGTAAATAAAAGGGAACATCCTAGCTTAACTCAGAACTGGAGTAAGCTAAAATACAAAAGTTCTACATTCTATTATTGTACAGCTTTGGGGAAGGGGTCTGATATGCCTCTTGTTCTCTGAACTGAGTTCTCCCTCCTTAAGTAGATTGGTAATTGACAGATAAAATGTTTTCTCAATTACTTATGATAACAATAGTAGGTAGAAACATTTGTAATTTCTGTAAATTATATGATAAAATACTTCAACAGTGATTAGGTTATCTTACAAAAGTTGACTAACTCCCACATTGTATACAGGAGAATAAAAAATAACTACTGTAATATGTAGAATTTTTCTAAAAGTAGTCCGGATCAAACTGTACTCATTAGCAGGCTTAAAAAATGGTTAGTGTGCATTATGAATTTATACTCTATTTTATCTTTTGGATTTAAACAAATTTTCAACCAATAAATGACGAGGAAGTTTACTGGATAAAGAGTGTTTTTCATCCTATTGATTTGTTTAGATGCCCACTCATCCAATATTTATTTTAGTTAACTGAGTCGCAATGAAACCAATTACTACTTAAGGACAGAGAAATCAACGTATAAGAGACCAGAGTTTTCCTTCCGAAATTAAATTTGTAAAATCTCACAATAATAGTTCATAAAGCCCAAGAAGATAGGTTTGCAGAAGCAAACTATCGAAACAGAGTTATAAATATCACTAAAGTTCAACAAGAGTAAAGCAACGTTAACAGTAATGGAATCATTTGAAACAACAGTTATATATTCTTAATATAAAAACATCAACGAATAATAAGTTATGCTTAATTTATGCCTTTTTCTATGTTATATTCTCTATAATAAAATTTTTTAATTTACATTGTTTACCATCACAACGTACGATTTAGTAAAATACATTTTAAAACTAAATATATATTTGCATCAATGGTTTAACATTTCTTATAATATTGCTTAGTTCTATCAACGGGAATGATCGTCAGATCATCGTCGTAGTTGCTTATACATTTCTAAACAATTGACCCCTCTGGAACTTGTTGTGGGAACTTATAACCTACGTGAAGAACTTATCAAATGTTGGCTACAGTTTGATACCTGTTAGCTTTGTTATACATTTTACAATGATGGCAATCTTCAGTGTTAGAGTGAAGTTTTAAAGTAACTCTACGCTTACCCGATTATGTCTAGCAACTAAAGAACTATAGGAAATATTAAAATTGAGTAATTGAAATTGTTTTTACAGTTTGCAAACATTATTTAAGTTTGATAAACATTTCTTTATTATCTTCATTACAATCGAAGCACTCTATTTGCCTTCTTATTGGACAAAAAGTTGACATATTAGTAACAAAAAAAGTATATATTATGCCAAGTTTAATGTATTTATAAAGTAGGGTTGCAAATAGAAAAAGATAACATCATTATTTTAGATTAGAAATTCAAGAAAAACACCTACTATTGTGGTTTACAAACACATTTTTCCATCTAAACAAAAAACCCAGATTGAAAAGTTAAAAAAAAATTATTTTAGTAGGGCCTACAACATTATTTACATAAGTATATGATTGACTTTTAGAGATTTTGCCCATCACGATTCTTAAAAGCTTAGAATCATGATGAATTTTACTTCATCAGCATACTGATTATGAACCAAACACAATACTAATCGTAACATTTGTGTAAGATATAATATATTTATTTACCAACAGTAATTTATGCTTCCAGGCGTTGCTGCATGTTTTCAAAGGCACATAAATGCCAAATTTATTCGCCAAATTAAAACCTTTTTCATAACAAAGTACAACTGCCAGGTACCAAAATGTCAAATTCATGAAAGAGGCAAATAATGTAGACGTTATGAATATACATTCGAGTATCGTTAGTGCGCTTAACTAATAGAATACCGTAATGAAGAATGCTGAAACTAGGTAATACTAGACTAAACTCATGGTCCTGCCATACATTCTAAGGCTCATACCTACCATAGGTGGGAGTGTAAAAACGCATGTCTTGAGCACCCTAATAGTTAAAGCTATATATTATTCTACAAGGTATTGCATCTTCTAGCCTTATTTCGTGAGTTGGAGTTCTTCTTTTATTTTACAATACTGTATAATTATTAAAAAGTCTCTTAGTCGAAAAACTGAGTATGTACAATGTCACTTTGCGTTGGACAGAAGAACTTGGGAGTGCACAACTGTAGTTACTTCCGTTGTAAGAGACCGGTAACAGGTACCAATCCGGTAACAGATAAAAAAACAACAAAAAAACAGTTAAAGATGATTATAACATTACAGTTCAGCTATGCATTTCAAACTAGTAACAGTACAGAATCAGAAATAGATTAGGAATTGGTAATAGATAACAGAACTGTTAACAAGTAAAAACTAGGAATAATATACAGTGGAATTTTGATAAGAAGACCCTCGATAACAAGTCACCCTTGATAATAAGTGTCATTTTCAAATCCCCTTAAAATTATTTTACCCCTAATCACATGTTATTACAAACCTCGATAAGAAGTCAACCTTGATAACAAGTCTTATTTTACAATCCCCATGAGAGTCTTGTTATCAAGGTTCTACTGTACTATGAGTAGTAGTACATTCCGTTTCAGTACCAATTTAAAAACCAGATACAAAACACTTAACATATATTAGATACTAATTCAGTAACAATTTCCAAACCAGTTCAAGTTTCTAATTTAAAATATTATACGGAATTCAACAATACAACAAATATGGTGCTGTAACAGATTTTGAACTGGTAACAAATATCAGAAAAGTAACAAGTTAATCAAGTAAATCTTTTTACCAGCTTTGTATTTGTTTACTCTGGATATTAATCCAGTATCAAACACCAAGCTGGTAAAAGATACCATTAATATTGTACTATTATTGATACTACTACAAACAATTAAACAAAACTGTATAATATACTTATACACCAACCAAAACCATTACACACGAATCAATGATTGTGATCTTATGTTGTGTGAGTAATCAATTCCAAAATTGTGTCACAGTTGAATCATTTGGATACATAATTTTGTTGGAATAAATCAGTCATGTGAAATAAGACAAACCATTGTAACAAAGGGGTTTAGCATAATCAACAAAAACTGTACACAGTCAATAATCTCATTAGGTGTCTCCTAATTAATTACATATTCCCAAATCTTTCTGTAAAATGAAACATTTGAATCGAGTTGTTGCACGGAGGAAGCTTACAATGGAAGTACACTTCAGACCAAGCAGTTTGGTAATAAAAAAAGAAATTTCTCAGTACCCAAAAATAAACGTATTGAACGTCTGTACATGATAACCCTGTAAGAATGGAGTAAGTCGGACAGGAGACTAAACTACGCTCGTCTTTTATACACTCAATAGTTCTGTACACTGTGGCACTTTACACGGCGGACTATGTTCATGTGCGCGCTCCGAGAGTTACGACGTTCACTTTTGCGAGAAATTGTTAAATGTTCATGAAAATATTTGATGTTGGATAGAACTCAAGTGTATGTTTCTCAAACTCAATGATAACGTTAAATCAAGTGTCAGTGATGCAATTATACTTGAACAGAATTTAAAACAGAATAGCTTGCGTTATCAAAATGATCGTGATTATTTTACATGGTTTTTCAAAGTGGTACATTCAAAGGCACAGGTTGGTCATAGAACGTTTCCCCACTTGGCAAAAATAATCGTAACGGATATAACCAATCTTCTAAAATTACAATTGCTTGGTGAGCCGCACAGTGAACGGTCCTAGAATCTAGGAGACTCTAATGAAACGTCATTTCACGTAGCCCCTTCTGTTTCAAAAATGGAAGTTCCCAGGTTCTTATAAAATATAAAAGTTGCAATCTACACATTTACAAGTTTCAACTATTATAAAAGTTTTCAAAATTAAACTTTAGCAAAACACAACAAGAAGTAAGACAATGAGCAGCTTGAAAAACGGAACAACAAGACACAGAACTGAAAACAAAGGCTGACAAGGTTCACCAGGACATTCGCCTAAGACATTTTTTTATTGGTTTTTTGTTAGTTTTATTTACAAACTTTGTTTAAAAGAAATGTTATGAAATTGCCTCTTGACTTAATTTGATATGTAATGAAGGTTATTGAAATCAAAAATGAATTTGGACTAAACCTAATATTGCCGGTATTTTTTTCAAAGATGTAAAAATCAGAACAACTGATTTGGTTTACATTTCTAAATTAGAACAAAATTGTATTGAAAATAAGTTTGACTATCTGTTGTACCTACTGTACAAACATTAAAAACTGTGTCTCAACAATTATCCGATGTCAATAGATGGAAGTATTACGTCTTCTGTTTATTATCAAAGTTAGGTCTAACTAATCCATCTATATTATCTTTTTTGAAAAAAATATAGTATATCGTAGGTAACTACATATTTTTGTAATTTTCAATAGATACCTAATTTCTCATTTACTATAAATTATTTTCATTTTGAAAAACTCAGGTCCAAATTAAGTCACGAGACTTTATGAAGCGCAACATTCAAAATACAAAATCTGCTACGAATGTGATGGTGAACGTCCGTCCAAGTGGATAAAATAACAAGGTCAGGCTCGACTATTCCAGCGAGCATCGTCGTCATTGGAACGTGTTTGTGTCCGACTTGTGGAAACTGGGCCGCTGATTCATCTGAAGATCTTGAACATTTGCAAAGTTGTTTTCCGACTTAGGCCGAGGTAAACTGGCCGTCAGAATGTGTAAGCTACGTCCCAACTCACTGATCAGTGAACGATTCCCCACTGATTCCACCGAAGTGTTCGCGTGTTCCGCCTGCTCGGAAAGCGCGTTCACAACCGCGTTTATTGTTTTACTTTCACTCCCCATTTCCTCTTCTTCTTCTTCTTCGTGGTGCGACACCAGGTTGGGATTCTTCCCAATTTTGTTCAGTCTGAAAACAAAAACATTGTTAGATGGTTGACTCGAGTAAAGTTTTGGCTGATTGTGTAATGTGTCGCAAAAGCGCTAAGCATTTTTGAGGAATTATTTTCGGCATGATAAAATGGAGTCATAATTTAAGTAAGAGGAAAAATGAGAAAGTAAGTTGAAATGTTGATTGATTTGTTACCATCGCCTATATAATTGATATGTGCTGAAGTTTGATTAATCTTTAATGATTAATAATATTTCATGCCATTTTAAGACTTAAAAATAACCCTATAAAGTTTAAATTTAAAAAAACAATAAATATAGTAGGTACCACAGCTAGATAATGTGTTGCCAAACATAAACATGATAAGTCTTTAAATTCTTGTAAAGGTACAATTTGTACAAATGTCATCTTAGTACTTGAATACTTTATTCTGAAATGGCGACCATACAAATGTAGGTATTAAGTATGAATAGAAGTGAGTGGCGCGATCTTGTAGTCTTGTTAGTGACTAAGGCCTTTCAAAAAAGCAGAACTGTTGACTAATGTTACACGAGTCCAAGAAGATTTATAAAGAAATGTTTTGCTTGTACATAGGTTACATATGGCTTACCTGAATTATAAGCTTGTATAGTGAGTTGGCATCATTCCTTTGTTATGGAATATTTTTGTTGTGTAAGTATGGCAAGTAACTACAACATTTATATTGTAACAAAATTTGTAATATTTTAATTGGCTCTTTTTTCAATAGATAGATTTTGTATTCATGAATTACTAAAACAAAAATACTCCATAGAGCTTCCACGAGTCTTGAACAACAAACACAAAACTGAAGCAAAATGCACAAAAAGTTAAATACGGTAAATAAACATAAACAAAACAAATTAATAGGTACAAAAAACCCAGCTAGGATTAAGTTATCATTATTATCATGGTTTACTATGGATGAATTTCTACATTTATTTTTGTTCAGATTTGTTAAAATTTTTCAAATCTTTTCTGTTTACTTTTATTTGAGCTGGTTTATTAAGTTGTGGTTTTGATTAAATACTGTTTCAAAACTAATGGTAAGACGCATGTGTGCTTTCAAAATAATTCAACTAAAAACAGACTATAAATTCCCTGTAAAAAGTTCTAAAAAAAAATTATTACCGTACCTAAGTTGTCTAACATTTTAAATCATAATATAGAATTTAACTTAACAAAAGTTCTGTGTCTATGAAAATTTAACTAAACATACCAAAATCAAAATTTTAAAATTGCTCATCTTATATATTTAAAAAATTTGCTTTTTCTTTTACGAGTTCCTTTGACTCTGCTACCCGACCGATTTTCATAATTGAGGTCTCAAATTGAAGGTATGCATACACAGATTTGTCATCAAGCATCGGTATATATTCATCTATAATCCCACTCGGCTTTTATGTAAATGAAATTTGCTCCCCATGTATTTCTTATGGGAGTTAAATTTGGTTTCTCTTATCCGAGTTCATTTGGCTCTTATACCTGACTGATTTTCATGATTGAGGTCTCAAATTGAAGGTATACACGCACAAATTTGCCATCAAGCTTTATCATATATTTACCTGTAATCTCACTCGGCTTATACGTAAACAAAATTTGCTCCCCATGTATTTCTTATGGGAGTTAAATTTGGTTTTTCTTTGCCGAGTTCGTTTAGCTCTTCTACCCGACCGATTTTCATGATTGAGGTCTCAAATTGAAAGTATGCACGCACAGATTTGCCATCAAGCTTCGGCATATATTTATCTATAATCCCACAAGGTAAACAAAATTTGCTCTACATGTATTTCTTATGGGAGTTAAATTTGGTTTATCTTTTCCGAGTTCGTTTGGCTCTTCTACTCGACCGATTTTTATTATTGAGGTCTCAAATTGAAGGTATGCACGCACAGATTGCACATCAAGCATCGGCATATTATCTTTACCTACCGTATTACTCGACCAAAAAACATAATTTGATTCAGTTTAGAACTCTTACTTCAATTTAAGATGTATTTCACCAGATATAATTATATAATCCCATATATTTTGGTCTAAGAACCTTCAGTGAAATAACGGCTTTCATTTAAGCTATTAGTTATTCAAATCGGACAAGTTTCAAGCAAACGCAAGGTGAACAACCTACATCAATATAATTTTTCATAAGGGTTTTCTATGATTAAAAATCAATAGCTCCAGTATTGTTCATGTTTTTTTATATATTTTAGACTCAAAATAATCAGTAAATTATAGGCTTTAATTTGAGCTATCGATCGTTTGAATCAGTTAAGCTCAAGATACTGTATTACTCAATAAAAAAATTGATTATTTCTCTGATATTATATTTATTTTAACGCTGCGGAGCTGCATGGGTCGGTTTATAATTATTTTATTTTACTTATAGAGATAAATTATTTATCTGTATGATTAGTGTCCTTTAAAATTACTAGTTTTTTATTATTATTTTTACAATAATCAAAATAATACAAACAAGGGTAACTCAAAGATACACTGTATAAAACAATATTTATTAAAATACAATAAAGCATATCACAATGTCGCATGCAAGGTATCACAATTGCTCAGAAGCTGTGGTAACGTCAAACTAAAAAAAACACTACACAACTAAACAACAAAACATAAATAAATAATGACGCAACAGAAATCATCAACATAAACTTAGAAGACCACTATTTGTATGCTCTTCTTGGATGTTAAATGGTATACATTAAATTTGTGTACAGTAGAGTACATTATTAAAAATTATTATGAATGGAATAGTTTGTTTGATTCTACCATTTATGACTTTAAAAGACAGGTGCAACTGGTTTGGTTTTTGGAACACAGAGCTTTTTGTACTCGGGGCTCAGGTTCTATACACCACTCACCTATAGCTTTTAGCCCACTTTAAGCTGTAAGGCAACCCAACAACGACAAAGATAGAGCTAAGATTGTTTCTGTATGCATTGGAGATCCGTCTCCACAATTAAAAAGCCATATGCTCAGTTTTGATAGATAACATAGACTTTTTAATGAAAATCTGAATGAATTAGGTTTATTGTAAAACACAAAAAGTATTTCTAACAGTTTCAACACGTTTTTCTGATATTTCCAGTTGGTAATAGACTCTTTTAAAATTAATCGTACATAGTTTACTTTGAAAGTAAACAAATTCAAGTTAGTAAAGGTCTAAACAAATGTGCACCCCTTGAGGAATTTAATAGTGAGTGTGAGTATCAACACACTGGCTCCACTACAAGTTCAGGATCTTTTTTACAACAAATTACAACAATTTTAGTAGAAATTATAGTACATTAAATAAAACCTCTATTGGGAAACAAAGTGGGCAAACAAAACTTCAAAAGATTCATTTTTGCCAAAACGGCGGTGGTTTAAAATTACAAACTTGAACTTGTTGAGCTAAGTTGCCATTCTTTGTAATTTTAAACTGCCGCCGTTGTGGCTAGAATCGGAACTTAATCTATTTTCTTGGGTTCAAAATGTTACATTGGAAGGGAAGTCTACTCTGAGTATGGTAGAATATTGCCTCAGTGCATTTTATGTTAGAAATATAACCATTTAATATGCTCTCTGACTTCTGGTGGACTATTTCCAGTGTGATGGAAAATTTTATATTTGCTTAAAAAAGTAGATTTTTACAGTACAGTAAAAGCAAGCTACATGTGAAGCTTTGTTGCATTACAATTTCTGAAATGGTTTAAAACACCGTTCCTGGACTTTTGTGGACCCTGCATATTATGCTGGCTAGTTTTAGCATTAAGTGCTACCATTGACATTGTTACTAGGTGGGGTGATTTGCTATTTCAGTAAAAAATTCTTATAGGTACCTATATTTAATTAAAAAAAACCTTTTTCTACTCATATGCATTAAGATAAGTTCTTATGTTAAAAACTAAACACTAAAGTAAAAGAAAACTAATGAAAATTCAAATAGTGGTCTTCAAAAACATGCGAAACGACAACAAATGGCACCATGCACACTTACGTATGAAATGTTTAGTCCATAGCTTGATCTCTTAGGTATCAATAATGTAATGATATAGTGGAAATATTTTCAAATTTAACTTATACACAACTTCAAAATAAAATTAGACCCCTTAACTTAAACTTTGATCAACCTAATGTTTTAGATGATTCTTGGCAAGTTTTCTGGCAAAAATATCAATAACAAAAATGAGTTATAAATATCTGGAGGGTAAAAATATTTCCCAGATCTTAGTTAATGTAGAAAGCTAGGCCTATGATTGAAATAGTTTATAAACTAATCTACAAAGAATACTTAAGAAATAAAAGCGGATAAGTTCAGATCTTTAAATTAAACAATTAAACTATTTTGATTAAATATCTTTCATAAGTCATAAAAAACTAAAATTAAATACAAAAGCAAAACCTGATATATTATTGGCAGCACATACTTTAAAATAAAATTTTACTTTATTTTTAAACGTTTGAGAAATGGATAATATTAAAAAAGAAAAATTAATGTAACTTTTAACTTCATCAATAGGTCTTATACTTGATTACATTTAAAAAACTAAACTTACTATCTCTTGGCCTGGATATTCTATACAGAATAATAATTTATATAAAAAACATAAATTATCTTTGTGCGGAAATAAAATTTTAAAACATATCTTAAACCATGCCAATTAAATTGAAATAAAATTGTATACGGCTGCCATGTCTACTGAACGAATAATTACAAATTAGGATTACAGAATGTACAAATAATAGTAAAATTTAAATTATAACAAATATTTACTTTAATATAAGGCATAAAAACTAGCTTGTTAAAATAAACTATTTACAAAATAATGTAAAACAACCACAAATGTTTGTGTTAAAGGTCTATGGCTTCTTTGAAGTCTTTATTGTCTAAATAATATCATAAGTTGTAACTCCTTTCCACCCAATATAGGATGGTGTAAAGACAAGGGAAGTAAGTAAATTTTAATTACCATAGTGATGAAAAAAAGATTCTTGCAGTTACTAATTTGGAGTACCCAGTAATATTATTACTATCATACTGTACTTTTATTATTATTACTAGAATTAGTAACATTTTCTAAACAGTTTTACTTTGAAAACTGTGGAGTAAATGAGTAAATAAATTAGTAAAAAAATATAATTTTAGTTTAAAACATTTAGACAACATTAAAGTTTATTTGATAGATTTATATTTCTAGAGTAATATTTTTAAAATGGTTTTTATTTTTATAACTGCTTGTCCATGAAGACTATTGAACTGTACAGTGATCTGAAGAAAGCCAAGTAATATTAAGGTATAAGTCATATGAGCTGACCGCAAAGATAAGATAGTACAGGCAGCTGGACAAACAAGCTGCCACACTGAGCTACCAAGTTTTGTATACATCTTTAATGGTAATTTTGTGTAAAATAATATGGTAAAACACGTAAAAAGTCTTGAAATACTAAATTTATTGGGATGGATATAAATTAACATTTGTACTGCATCTACTAAGTGAGAAAAACTTGATTAGGGTACAAAGAAAAAATGTAAAATATTTTTGATATTTTTGTTTTGAAAAATGGATACTTTCTGCAAGAATACTTTCTCTCACTATTCTGTCTTCCCTGTCTCCACCTGACATTATCGTTATCACAGTTGTGAAAACTCGTGTAAATCTTCTGCGTGTTTCCGTTCCCGCAGTCCATCCGCTCCAAGAGTCTCGTCTTTACCCGCCCTAAGGGCCTCCTCCTGCCGAGCTTTATGTTTACGATACCTTTCAGCCGCCACGGACTCCATCGTTCTCCTCATGAGAGGATACTGGTCCAACACCGCGTTGAAGTGTTCAACTGACAGCGAGAACAAGTTGCAGTAAGTTTCCGCTCGCACGGACGCAACTCTCCTCGCGTTGGTGAGAAGGCAGATCTCTCCGAAGTAGGAGCCATCGCTGAGACTCGTGGCGACTTCTCCGTTCGCCATGACTATGTCGACGATGCCCTCTTGGATAAAGTACATTTTTGTACCGATTGTGCCTTCCTTTATTATAATATCACCTGCAACATGGTTTTAGTTGAGTTTGAAATGTTGGAATATGAGTTAGTAAGGGAGAGAGGATGGAATTTAGAATGTGGATGATTCAAATGAGAGTTGTAGTATAATTTTAATTAATTGAGATTTTAATTGATAATAGTAAAAGTAAAAAAAAAAAAAAAAAAAAAAAAAATGGGGATGGGACATGGAATTTTTCATTCATTGCTATAATATTACATGATGTGCTTCCACAGCTAGCACTTTACATTAAGCACTTCCAGTCTATCTCCATTATTGAAACACATAACTGATTTAGTAGGTTGGTAGGTTGAATTGATGGGTTGGGCTAGAACTCCCCCAATTCCCTATTTACTGTACTTAATAGACAACTTAATTGAATAAAGTGAGAATTTTGTTGCTCTTTAATGAAACCATTTTGAAAAATTTGTTATAATTATATAGTTTTTTGTAAAACAAAATTCAAGGAATTTGTTTTAGAAAAGATAAAGACCGTCCTCTGTTAATTAATTACTGTTTAGCCTTAGTTTATTCTCAAAGACTTCTTTTATTCACATTAAACATTATCTAAAAAGTTAATAAAAAATTCTCAGCACCATAATCTGTTGATGATTCAACTTCATTTCATAATGTTCTATCTTTGATAATTTTATGTAATGAGATCTATTACAATTTAGACACTCAACCATCCAAGGCTGATTGGCAAAACACTACATCTAGACAGGTACTTTCTTGTTGTAACACTGTACTCAATATATAGGTGAATAAAGATTGATTGATTGATCAATTTATTGATCATTTGATTGACACTTACCAGGCTGGAAGACTTCATATTTCAGTTTTGTCACCACATCTGACACAAAGTTGCCATCAGCATTGGCAAAGAATGGCACTGACGCAACCAGCGACCGGCAGTTGTAGTTTATGACATCCTGCACAAATTAAGGAAAATAAATATATCAAACACAACAAACAAAAATATTAGTTACCCTGTTGTATTTTACAGCTGTAAACACTGTACATAGTCAACAGCTGAGATGGATGTACTGAGGTTTTTTGACAGATGAATCCTTCGTCCTTTGCAGAATATTTGGCCCCCTACACAAAAATGAAGGTTTTTGAATCCTCCAGGATGAAATTCTTCACAGCCTTATCTACTGGCAAAGACTTATTGAGGTTTATCTAAGACACAAAGACTCTGATGGCCTGTGCTTGTTGTGCAAAATGAGAGGTGCCAACTGTATTTGGGGGGAGGGTCAGTTTTTGAAATACCAGAAGGAGGGGTCATCCACACCTGAGATGGCAAGATAAAGGGAACATAACTTAAATAGATGCTAGAGGATGGATGGGAAAGTCCATAGTTGGAGAAGACTTGTCAAAGGATTTTGGTGAAGACTTAAGTCAAGAGGGCTGAAACGGGAATGAAAATACAAAATCAAAATTGTAGGTGTTAGTTTTTAATGGGGTTCTGAAACTGCCTTCACTCTCTGTACCCAATTTTGCTGAAGGTCAGAAGAGTATAAAAACAAAGCTTTAGGCCCGGTTCACACGAACGACATACCTAGCAGACTAGGCTTGGACTAGGTAAGCACGACTGGGTAGCGGAGCACAGGATCACATCGGTTCACACGAGCGACATGTCTACGGACTAGGTGAAAATATCGATATCAAAACCACTCGGTTCCATCACTGGTGCACAATGAGAACAAAGGTAAGAATGCGAGCTGCAGCTCGACTACCCGATCGCTCGTGTGAACGCTCCCATAAGGCTACATGTACTGCTACGCAGTTCGACTGGGCGACTGGGTAGTTGCCACGACGGACTGGGAAGCGGGGCCCGACTAGGTTTTGGGACATCAAGCTCGAACACGACTAGCTAGTCGGCGTCCTAGGCTCGTGTGAACGGCTCCATTTGATCCTGTGGTCCGCTACCCAGTCGTGCTTACCTAGTCCAAGCCTAGTCTGCTAGGTTTGTCGTTCGTGTGAACCGGGCCTTAGACGCAGTGGTATCAATTGAATGATGAGGTCCCTTGATCTCAGAATTTCAAATCGCTGTGTTAGAGTTTGATATAGGCCTACAATTACAAAAACAACACTAAAACTCATTATTATATATTGACTAAAACTGTGATTATTTTCAAAGCTTATGTGTTGTTCAAATTTTCATGGTGGAGTTTGCCAAATATTTCCAACCAGCTTGATATCCTTACCTGGTGATGTGTTACTTTTGTACGGTAAAAACAGAGTTGTGGTTAATTTAAACCACAACGGATTAATTTCACAGTAGATTAGTAGAGTAATAGGCCTATAGTGAAATATATTGTACGTCAATCATCCAAAATGTGTTTACCGTGCTTGTATGTGGGATGGACCACACTCGTCCGGTAAACACAGATGACGACCTTAGTTTTTTATAAGGACTATTAATTTAATACTAGGGGACCATAGAAGCAATTGCTGCTTTATCCCATTGTCCTTGGACCTTAAGCTTTAAAATGAATCCTCAACAGCAATGCTAACTTTTTCCTAGCTCGAGATATTTAGTGGGGACCGATTCGCTTACGGAATTAAATATATAAATTTAGCTGTTGATCCCTTGAAAATACAGATTTTTTGCCCTTTTACATGTTTACTTGATACACCCTTTATGCTGTTCACTTAATTAGATTTTCAGCTAATGGAGATAATTTACAAAATATGAAGATTTACCTCTCTCAGTTTTTCCGAGAGCTCTCCCAGGATTGCCTCTTCGTCGAAGAACTTTCCCTGGTACCGATGTTCGAAGTACTCTGTTATTCTTTGTCTCATTTCTCTCGGCAGCTTTCTATAAGCCATGTACTCTTCAACTTGTTTTACCTGGTTGAAAAAACGGCTTGAATTAAAATAACATCTTGAAATGAAAACTTTATTGCCTCTACATCAGTATCAAAAGTATATTACAAATAAGTAATTCTTCATAAAATATTTACCGAAACAGTTCTTAACATTGTCATCAAAATTAATCTAAATAATTAATACCTTGAACAATTTAAAGCATATAAAGTCAGAAGACTGTTCTTAGACATACTATACCTGAAGTTAAAATAAAGTAAGTGAAAACTTCTACAGGCACCTAATTTAAAATATAAAGTAAATACCTCAATACATACAAATAAATTATTTCAAAAAGCACAATTAAGATGTAAAACGTACAACTCCCAAAAGCCACAATTTATTTCCATTTATTGGTTGCTCTTTCTTATAAACCCAGTTGCATGGTTGTCTTTGGAATAAAAAATAACGCACAAAAGTTCAGATTTAGACAATAGTTCCACTGAATTGCAGGGGGTAAATAATTGAAACGAAACCATGAAGGTGCAACTTGACCAATCTTGCTTTACATTAGCTTAAAGTTATTACAAATCTTTGGAAAGATGTAAAAGAAAGATTTTTTAACAGACAAATTATTAACTCAACATAGAACATAAGAAACTTTCCACCACATAAAACCACAAGTTTAGTTAGTTCACTCGGAACACACAAAGCCACAAACAAGTTAAAACCTGTAACCAGCACCAGATTTCCCCCACACGGTCTGAAACTTACCTCCAAAATGTGCTTTACAAAATGGTCTGAGGTAGAATAGTCACAGGATAGGTTAAATTCTACAGAATTTAAAATTTGTTTGTATCAAAGTTTTTTTGCCCAATTATTGTTGTCAAATTAATAATAAAAATGTATTCAAACAAATCCATTAAAAATATCATTGTTAAATTTTTTAGACAGAAGACTAGAAAATATCAAAAGATCTACTTAAATTAATGTTATGCCGATATTAATGTTCCAATAATAGGGAGTTTGCATAATTTAAAGATATTTTGATGTAGAAGTTTTTTTCAATGACACCGGGTTTTTATTAAGAAATTGGAGCACAAAAGTTTTTGGTTGACACCACTACGAACTTACTGTTGAATCATGCATTCAGGCGATTTGAATAAATATTACTGTAATTAGTTATGTTGTCTTTGAATAAACCGTATGGTTATAAATGAACCGGTTATTCAGAGTTTACTTTGAGCTTCTCTACTGTAGAGGGTTAGACACTAATTTCCTCCACTGCCTTCCAAAGTTTACGTTTCATCTTCATAATATGTTTCTGGAAAAGAAAAGGGGTGGTCCTGATTTGGTGCAAGTTACAAACAAAACCAAGTAAATGAGATTGGATTCTCGATAAGTAAACCTATAATAAACAGTTTACCAAGTCCATGAAGGACTAGTTTTGAAGTTCCGTGAAAATGTGTCTTTTTTCATCACCATAAAGTGATATATACAACAGACTCTTCTAAAAATTCCTTATCAATCTTTGCTACAATTTATCAACAACAATTATATGATAATCATGTTGCTGGCAATAGGTGAATATGGTCTGTTGTAAGTTGTCTGGATGACTTATGTCATTGACTAATGGATACTGAAGTTTTAATAGTCAAAGCTTATGTGCACAGTGCAATATAAGCAAAAAGTAGTCCCAATTTCGTACTTCTGATTCTGATTTTTCTTTTTTGTTTATGATTGATATTAAATAGTGGCTTTTGGTATGTTGACATTTTGAGTTTACTCATAATTTTTTTATTTGTTTAGTTAAGAGTCGGCAGGACCGGATTTTCTGCTCATAACGGCAATGTTAATGGCTGAAGCATATTACGGTATTGGTTTATCAAGATAAAAAGTTGTAAAATAATTTTAAAGCTATTGAAACCGCGGATTTGATTTGCTACCTTCTTTTTAATTTTAATTGTTATTTTGTCAAACTACATAAATATTTTGACTTAAACTGTGATTTTATTCAACCTCTAAAACAAAAGTTTTAAAAATCCAAAAAGCAATTCATACGGAAAATATATTTTAGAATCACATAAAATCTTCTGCTCGTTAATTAAGCTTAGGGTGCATAATTACGTGAACGCATGTTTTTGCAGATGGGCCCTCGGACAACCACTGCTTCCCCTGACATCTGACGGTTAACAACAATTCAAAATTATTGACTCCTGCCAACTCTTAAAGATAATCTTCAAATTGATTTCTGGAAGACGAAATGATGTAAACATCTAAAAATATTAATTTCTTAGTTACAATAAGGACAGTTAGTTTGTCTGCACCTTTGCTCAATATTTTAAGATTATTTACCATAATATAAAATGGAGAGTATTTCTTTGAGATATCATTATAGTCAACTCCTTATGTGAGTGATGAAGATGAATTAAAATTGCAAAATCAACCAAAACAAATTGGCGTTTCATTACGAATTGCAAAATTCAAGCATCAAAGTTTCTTCTAGGCTCTTAAATCCAAATCTATTAGTTAGTTACTTCTCAACATTTTTCGAAATGGCAAAATAATGCAGTAGTTTTTACAAAAGGTCACACTTTCACTAATCTATCCTAAAATGAGGTAACTGACCCTTTCCCGGTACTGTCGTCTGCTGGAGTCAAGAGACTGGATGAGGTTGGTAGCGTGTCCGAGGAACAGCGCATAACAGGTGGCACCACTGATCATGCTGAGCATAGTAAGCCACATGTCGGTGAGTGACTGAGGCGGAAACCTGCCGTAACCGATGCACAACATGTGTGACATGGCTTTGAATAAAGCCCACGAATACTGCTCTAACCAGAAGGCCTCCTGCAAACATGTCATTGAATTAATTACTATACACAAGAAACCCAGACTTTACACAAACATACATACTTTTACTGTATAGTTTTGCAATTTGGGTAGGTGAAAATCAGGAGTAGAGGGAAATTCTTGGACTTTACAGTTGAAAGGAACAAATGTTTGAAAGGTAGTACAGTAAAGGTAATGGATATGATCACAGTAAAGGAATGTGTAGGCTACATTATAATCTACTTGGAACTTTACAAACTGGTTAAATACAAGGAGTTGGGGCTAAGAGTGCCCATCACCGTCACTGCTACCAGAAAAATTGGTTCTCGGTGTTCTCATTACTAAACCCTCGGAGAATTAAACCCGTGCCTCCCGCACCGAAGTCTGAGACATTAACCGAACCGTTGTTTCGTGGCTAGCAACACATCCAATTGGTTTGTGCTATTCCTAAATATGATATCAGGTCTTCTAGGTAATTATTAAGAAAATATGAATACTATCTTTGACTATCAATAGTCAATGAGTCTCGTACTATTTAAATATTGAAAGTTTTAAAATTTAATATGGTAGGTAACCATTGAATTACAAATTCCTAACGTTTAACTCAGGTAAATTAATATTCAACTACCTTTCAAGCGATTATTGATAAAACTTCTTTTATAGGCCTACTATTCTTTATCCAATGGCCAATTCAAGTTTTCAATCAATCATCTAGGTTAAAATGAATGATAACATTAAATGCAGAAGTATTAAATAAGAAGAAGAATGTGGCCGAACGTCGAACGCCAGCATCGGACACTGCTGTTTGGCTGATGAAAGCGTCCGTTGTCTGCCAATCTTCCATACTTTTCACAACGTACAAAAAAAAATAGTCTAACTCGAATGATCCCAAATTTTAGGTTAGAGTTTGTAATTAGTCATATTGTTCACCACAAGTGTATAGACTACTATTTACTATATATACTATATAAACTACTAGACTATGAATTTGGTTGAACGATTTGGTATAACAATTAATTATTAAAGTTCCCCTGGTATAATATTTGGGGGGGGGGGGTCACGACACCCTTGACCCTCCCCTGGGACTGCCCTTGCGAACAAGAAAATACTTTGTTCAACATTTTACTTCACCTTGGTTACAATAAAACATAGCAGAAACAGATACAATTGTACAGGAGACGTACAAATTACAAGCCATGCTAGCTAATTTTTAGCAACTGTTCAAAAATCTTATAAAGACTCTCGACACACACAAACTACACCAGGGTGGTCCTCTTGGAGTCTTTTATAGGACTTATTGGTGACTTGTGACGTGTTGGCCCTGCTCCATGCGGTTACTTCATCTGACAAAGACTAAACGTTTTCAATGTAAACATCTCATATCCCTGAACGTAAACATCTCATATCCCTGAAAACTTGTGACCTAATTACTCTATGAATATTCTCTGATTTTCTTCACATGTTATTTTACTACTCGCTTGTCGTGACCTGTAGTCTTCAGACCACCTTGCAACCTCCATGTATCCCTCTCTGTGCCATCTGTCACCATGACAATCCACACATAGTTGGGTGAAGGAGTTACCCGCTTACAAGCCTGGTCAACATACTTAAAGACCCATTACATCTTAGAATAGTAGTTTGTTCACTCCTTGTGTGTGGACCAGAAATTTTCTAGGTGTCAGACGAGGCGACACAGTTCACACTCCGATTCAACAAAGTATTCATTTATACATGGCTGCTGGTTTATAAATGCCTTATCACTCTGAATTGAGTCAGAAGAATGAAAAGGACACAACCCTACAACAGGTAGCTTTCCATGTTTATTTTGGTAGCGTTGGGGTTTTGAGGATTGTTACATTTCTAGGTAAAAATAAAAATGTTAAAAAGTAAAACTTTACAGATCAGTAATCAATCAGTAAACATCTATGAAATGTCTTTCTGCATCTCACAGTAGTGTAATAAAAAATACAGCAATCAATGGTTGAAACCAAAAGCAATGTCGTTTCTTGAGAAATAATTACTCATTTATTGTGTTCCTAAAGACAATAAAAAATTAACTTGACAATAAGAACAATATCAATAGGAATATATCCCTAATGACTAGCCCCTACAATAACAGCTCTAATACTAATTGATAAAACATAATCCTCACCAACAGTGTTTTTTTCCAGACAAGCTACAAGAATCAGATTTCAACTCCCTTGCAACTTCTGAGCAAACTGTCAGAGAACAAATTATTCAGTTCATCTCCATAGGATTCCAAGTTAAATCAGGTAAACACTCTAGGCTACACAAATATACCTGTATCGGTCTATTTCTTTCTGTGGCGATGGGTAAGTGGCAACATTTCTAATATTTAGTTAATCAGGCTAAATCTTGTAACATTGTGATTCATCTTAAAGAATGTATTTTTATGATCTAAATAATAAAAGGTGCTGAGTTCTATAAACGATTTTAGTTTGTTAATTGCACTGGAGAAGGGAAGTATGATAGACAGGAGTATGCAACCTAAAGTGATAATATCGGACATACCTACTGTACTGACCACCTGCAGGCTAGACTTAAACTCCATCGGATTAGCGGCGTCTGTTACTGATAATTTGCACAAGTGTCAATCACATTATTCAAGTTAATTTTTTTTTTATTTCTTGAACCCTGAAATAAACTGGAAAGCTTGTACACATTAACCTGGGGGTACCCCCCCCCCACCCCCGGTAACCCTCCCCCAGTGAGATGTCATCTTATTAATCTTAACAACTAATTGTATATTCTTTGTTTAACAGCAGGCTGTTTACAATTACAGAACACAATGGCTAAGCTTACAAAGGATTACTAAATCCTTTTATAATAATACAAGCACTAGTCATTCTTATGTAATAATTTACCTCGTTTCAATTGCAATGTTTACTTTACCATATAAATCACGATAGTTGTAGAACAATGACATTATCATTATTGTATTATGTAAATTTGCATTGTTTCATATCCATTAATAAATATTTGATCAGTTTATTATTTCAGTTTTATATTTGAATGGAACATTCAGAACATATTCTGTTGTTGAGATTTTTACAACATCTGACAATATAAGGACTTGTTTGGCCCTTTGCTCAGAGAAAATTCATTTATCACCTTTTATAAATAAATCAATCATAGCTGTAAAAATTGAGATTATCAATTATTAATTAACTAGAGGACCCATGCTGCTCCGCAGCGTTAAAATAAATATTATATCCGAAAAATAATCAAATGTATGATTTTTGATTGAGTAGTCCAGTATCTTGAGCTTAACTTTTCAAATGATCAATAGCTCAAATTAAAGCCTATAATTTTCTGATTATTTTAAAACTAAAACATATCAAAAACATAAGCAATACTGGAGAGGTTGGTTTTTAATCATAGAAAAACCTTATGAAAATAATTTTTATGTTGGTTATTCACCTTGCGTTTGCTTGAAACTCGTCCGATTTGAATAACTAATAGCTTATATGAAAGCCGGTATTTCACTGAAGGTTCTCAGACCAAAAGGATTAGGCTATATAATTATAACTGGTAAAATACATCTTAAATTGAAGTAAGAATTTGAAAATGAATCAAATTACGTTTTTTGGTCGAGTAATACAGTAGGTAAATATATGCCAAAGCTTGATGTGAAATCCTTGAAAAACCAAATTTAACTCCCATAAGAAATACATGGGGAGCAAATTTCGTTTACGTATAAGCCGAGTGGGATTATAGATAAATATATGCCCATGCTTGATGTCAAATCTGTGCGTGCATACCTTCAATTTGAGACCTCAATGATGAACATTGGTCGGGTAGAAGAGTCAAACGAACTCGGAAAGGAAAAACCAAATTTTTTAAATATATAAGACTATTAATCATTGAGATTGGAACGTCACCTAGGTGTGTCTTTTAACTCAAATATGAGTGAAGGATGAGTGTAGAATGGTGTGAGATGATCTGTGTGGATTTTTTATAGTCTAAGATCAGCTGTTTCATTTAATATTAGATGAGTGAACAAAGTGAATGAATTTATGTATCGTGTATAACTGTGTCGGAGATTAGTTGTCCACTTGTCTGTGTTTCTGTGTGTCTTTGTGTTAGGATAAAAAAACTCAAGAACCGTTACACTAATATAGTGTTCAAATTTGGCACAAATAATAATGACACCACTGGGAAGATACCATTAAAATTCTAGACGATTCTGATCACTAGTATTTATAAAACCTTAAGAGTACATTTTAAACTTTGTCCCATGAGAAGAACATTAGAAGCTACCTTATTCTTCCTTTTATTTGTTTACATTTTGCGACCAACATTTTTATTGTCTACTCTAGACAAAGAGAACGACATTTTCTCTAAACATTTTCATTCATAGAGTAAACCGTTTGACGTCTATGAATATATGACATTCTCGTAATTCTACAACTTCCAGAATAATAAATTGAACTTTACAATATTAGTCGGCAGTTATATACAGTTTATGTATTAAAAAAAGAAAGTGGCGAAGGAAGTAGTCAAGGTGAGCACTGCGGAGTGTGGGAAGTGGCAGTTAGATTAATCTATCTGTAATATTAAAATGCTATGGGCAGGGAGGGAAACAGGTAGCCTACACGTTGTAGGAAGTGGTGAAGGAAGTGGTAAAGGCGAGCAGTTCTGAGTGTGGGAACCCATTGTGACAGTTAGATTAATGTATCTGCAATACTAAAATGCTATGGAAAGGGAGGGAACAGGTCCACGACGTTTTAAGTGGTGAAGTAAGTAGTCAAGCCAAGCAGTGCGGAGTGTAGGAACTGTGTGTGGCAGTTAGATTAATCTATCTGCATTCTGCAATACCAAAAGTCGTAGGAAGTGGTATAGACGAACAGTTCTAAATGTGTGGGAACAGTTTGTGTTAGTTAGATTAAACACTAAAATGCTATATGGGAAGGGAGGAAAAAAGGTGCACTACAAAGGAAGTGGTGAAGGAAGCTGCCTCTTTTACACTGTGCTGCGGCAATTACGTTAAGTTAGATTAGATCAGTGTTTCCTCGTTTTGTTTATGATAAGCCTAATAACAAATAAGGAAACATTTCTAAAAACAAACGTTCTTTTAAACTAGGCTTTTGTGTATAATTTTAAAGAGATGAATTTACAAAAGATGTTTTGTACAAGAACGATGGATTTACCACCAATTGATAATTATTGAAAATCCACCACAAATTTTACCAATGACTTCGGTTAAATAATGAATGAGAAGTTATGATTGTTGTTAACTGAGATTTGGTGATTCAAATAACATTGTGTTCACCAGTGACACCGGTAAGTGCAAGTGGACTCGCCCGTTGCGCTCACGTTCACTCATTCCACGTGTATCTCATTACGCACAGAATTGGCGTACTACTAGTAATGGACGACAAAAATTGTGTGTCACGGCTATTTTCAGTCGTACCTGCACTTGATGGCCAAAACGAATTCACCTGACTGCATTTACTGCCCATGCATTCCCGACGACGCGGAACACACTTTTTTCCGCTGTCCACAATGGGATATGCTTCGCCAGGAGGCCATTCAACATCTTGGGGTGCTGTCGATTGAATCGATTTGTGAGACCTTGCTGAAGGGTGAGGACAACTGGGACTGCTGGTCGCACTTTGTCCGGAATGTCCTTCAAGCAAAAATGAACGATCTAGATCGGAACATAGTCTAGATTTGATAAGAAATAAACGGCTAGACACGGCGTAAGCCCCTCGGGCGTAGGCAAACTCGGCCTAGTTCTGATGAAGTGCGACAAGTGTTCCCAAGCTAGTGTCCGAAGACATGCATTTTTATGCATTTTCCCACCTCTCCCTAAAAAAAAAGAAAAAAAATACTCGTCCAATCTTAAAAAATGAGATTTGTAATGAAATTTAAATTTCCTATTGTGACAGGATGTTGGAGTTGAAGGACCTGAAGTTTATCTGACTGAAGCATACGACGTAAGCATAAAGTCCACAATAAGGCTGATACGCCTAAATAATCCATTTTTACTCAACCAATCAGCTAAATTTACGTACCTGCAGTTCGTTGATGGCCACCCAGGAGTTGGAAGGGAATCCTTGCAGCATTGGGACAAGGAACTGTAGGCACCCAGACCAATGGCCGATCAGGAGCATCATACAGATTAGGTTGAATATCCTCATGAACACGCTCGCCATGTTGAGGAACTGAAACAAAATAGTTGAGAAACTACAACCAAACTATTCAAAAACTCACACATAACGGCGAGGAACCGAAAAATGAGTGTCTAGGAACCGAAACACAAATAATGTCATGAAACTAAAATATAAAACTGCTGGTCAACCACTGTTACCAACCAGACAGCAACCATAACCGGATCTCGCAGTATCGCCACCTGTGAAATCCTAAATTGATTGGCTTGCGGTTGTTAGTGAAGCATTGTATTGCTTATTGCTAGACCATTGCCTAGACCATGCGGCCACCGGTTTAAAAACAAGCAGTTAATTTCTGGAGAAAATTGTAGGACATGCTTGACAACCTAAGACATTATGGTATATGCAAAATCTAAATTTTAAATTTCTAAAAAGTTTACATGCTTTTTTATTTGGAAATAACAAAAAAAATTATTCATTAAAAGCTTTTTATTTTTGTTAAGAAAATCTTTTTTATTGTTAAGAAACCTTTCTTTCTAAAAATTATCATCCAACACAATGAAGTTAACTTTTGAATGGTTTTGAAAAGATTCCTAAACCTACTGGTACAATAAGCATACACCTCTAGTTTCTAATGCAATGTTTATACAGTAGAAGATAGGGAATAGAAGTAGGCTATAGTAGTAGAATCTAAAGAAATTGCATTCTTTGATTTTCGGAAAATCTACATGTCCTATTAGGTACAATTTTTAATAATTGTGTTATGTTAAAAGACTTTCTAAATAAAAAAAAAATAATTTGAATACGTTTATAGTAAAAAACAATTAGCATCAATAAAAATATTTTGAATAAAAATAAATAAAAACTAGACTGCAGATGAAAAGACAAAATATATGTATTAAAAATATCACAAAAAAGCTTAAGCAACTATGTTAGCTTATTTGGCTAACTTCACATTGACATGGGAAAACTACGTATCAATTAAAATTACATTGTATAAATAAAGTAGAAAATAATTTGGAAGACACATTAGAGAGAGAAAGAATAATTAATTTACGATCATAAATTGTAGTAAACAAAAAAATACTGCATTGATTTATTTGTTTTATTGTCAATCCAAATAACTAATTGAAGTTTAGGATTCCTTGCGAAAGTGAAGCAAAATATAAAAATAGTAAACACAACTGTTTACTCATACAACTAAATCACCTAAAATGTCTTTTAAAGTGGGTCAAAATACAAAATGTCACATGAGAAGCAGATAAATATTGCTTCTGGTACAGAAATAGAACTGTACCACAAATGGGCCAAATGACTCCAAATGCATATATACAAAGTGGAGCAAAAAGCAAAGCAAAGCTAGCTCCAGGCCCAAGCAACAATGTTAAATTAAAAAACAAACCTCAAAAACTTGGAATTAGCATAAATGGAGGAATCATGTGTGTTATGAAATGATATTATGTGAAATGTATCTTGTTACTATATTTTATTTTAAAAACCTTAGCCATAAAAACCATAGTCATCCCTCACATTGAACATGAAAACTTTTTTACAAGTAGGCTACGCTCCAATTATATGGTGCTGGTGTGTCAACTAGTGTATAGTTAAGAAGTTGGCTGCCGATTCAATAGAATACAAGGAAAAACAACAGGTATAAAAATGATATGGATAAGTTTTTCCGATAATTTAACCTTGGCCAGTTCTATTTGATAAATAAATGCATTTCATAAGAGAAATAGCAGTTTTTATCACTAGGAGCGAAAGTAGCTCTTTTTGGTACGCAATCATGTTTTACAAGCACAATAAATACAATAAAGTACCAAAAAAGACACGTTCACTCCGTGTGATGATCAACTATTTTCATCATACTGTGGAAATAACCTTCTAATCGTTACAAAATTAGACCACTTAAGGTTATACAAAGTTGTCATCTATGTCTAAACTCTGTTGTTTACAAACATAACTAAAAAAAAATCGTGTAATTAATAGCAGTGTTTTCAAATACATTTTGTTTTGAGGTTAGCAAACTGAAAAGTTTGCCATGAATTTTTTGGTTCTCTATTTGAAGTTATCCGAAAACGAAGTTTTTGCTGATGATTTAGAAAACTAAAAACGGGTGTTTTCTGAACAGTAAATTATGAAAATAATTTTTCGTTACAAGACCATTTTTGATATTCAAAGGTACATTTCCATAGTTGCTTATTATAATTTGAGTCATAATTTTAAAAATCTTGCTTTTAAATATCAGTGATGGAAATATCTGTATAGTTCGGCCGCTTAGAAAGCGACCTCCTCCAGCATTGGTTTAGCATTAGCGCCCAGGTCGTTTTCTAAGCGGCCGAACTATAGTAATCCTTCAAATGTCGTAATCTTACTACCATTGAACCTTATACAAAGGATTATAGGATTTGACGTAATATCCCTGTGTTTGTAACGAAACAAAAGGAGTGATCTTTGTTCTTAAAGGAAATTCTACCCTTGGCTTGAAGCGGTTATGGTTTGAATAATTAATTTAAAATTAAATTTTTAAAGAGGAAGCTTTTTTTAGCATATAGCCTGGATGTGTTAAAGACATTAACTGTTTCCTCAAATCAAAGGCATTGAAAACGTGCAGGATGTTGGAGTTATTTATAGTAGATAGTAAAAATGCCACTTTGCTAAAGTAAAAAAGTATTATCTGAGATATATTGCCCGATTGCAATTATCAAATAGAGGAAATATGTGCATGCGCAACACATTAAATTCAAAGTGAACATAATTTAATTTAGACAGAGAACTTGAAAAACAACGTTCAATTAGCAATGATTAAATGTTCATATTTGTATTTGATGCTTAAGAAATGTGAATGAATAGTATAACATTGTTTTTTAATATACCTACAACTAAAAAATAACTCGTGTATGATAGTTTGGTAAACAATATTTTTCAAATTATTTATTTTAGATCCTAAAGATTATGGAAGTAAATTTAATTAATGTGCTTAAGCTGCTACTTCAAAATTCTAAGAATATTTAGAAAGCTTACCTTGAAATATAAGTCCAGTTGGTTTCAGGTACACATTAAAAAGTACATTGATTTATCCCCAATATTTCATTCTCATCGCTAAAATAAAGTCCTTTTCTAAAAAATTCAAAACCACTCCTTAAACTTTCCCGCAAACTAGCCTTTAAGATAGTGTACTCAAGATAGTATTTAGGTACTTACAGTGCCCTTTTATGTAAATTTAGATTTTGAAAGAGTTACTTTATTGATTAACTAAGTATTACCCATCGTTATACCACTAACATCACACAAAGTGTAAAGCCATACTTGGCCGCAACAACCGGGTCGCCGTGACTTTTATTCATGACCTGGTCGCAGTAGGCAAGATACAAGAGCAACTTCTACCTGGGAGGATGATTTTCAACTGAAAATAAGAGGACTTTTGATTTATTATTATTTATTACATATGGAACAACTGAATGCTTTTGTTCGAAACTGCATTTGAAACATCACACTGCAGGAATATTGCTTAGGGGTGATTTATTTGAAATTGAAATTACACATTTAATCGAAATTTCGAATGAGCACAGCCAAGTCTGATGATCCTGACATACATTGAAGACAACAAGGTAAAAAAAAAAACAAAAAAACACAATGATTCGGAATCCTACAGCACCGGATACTTAATCCCTTAGGGTAACGTTCTATAAAAGTATCAGCACCCTAATTTTGTTGATGAACAAATTTGTGTTAAAGGCATATTTTACAACTGGACAGTGCTGTACCACTATCAAACTGAAACTGAATAATATATACAGTAAAACAGAGCAGGGACTGGGTTTGTGAGGAAGCAACTTGTCGCCTAGTGTGGTCGGTGCTGTAAGATAACATGAGGAGTGTATATGTCATTGATCTTAAAACGCTCCTTTTTTCTGTAATTTCAATTGCTTAATGGTGTTGTCTTTCTTTGATTTATGTTGCTCATTTTTATTCTTTGCGGTGGCAGCATATTATTTTATTATTATTTTTATATATATATTTTTTTTTGCAATTGAGTCTCCAAACGTGGCCGATGGGTTGTAATGCTGTGTATTCATGTTCAGTGAGAGTCACATAACAGATGAGTCATTAAGTGAGATGATTTTTGTAGTTTTGGGTGACCAATCCGTTTCTGTAGCTAGGGCCATTCAAACAAAAACCAAACGATCAAGGACTATGTCCATTTTCAAACCAACAAAAAGCTGCTGACTTTTCTCAGTCATTGTGCTTGCGATTTTCTTGCAAGTATTGTTTTTTGCATTTAGTGTTGTTACTCACATTACTAAACAAACTTTTACAATTCTATGGACTTGTTTCTGTCTTAGGTAATATTCAACATTAATAGGAAGAATAATTAACAGCAAAATGTAGATCATTACAATCATTAATACCACTTGTTGATTCCTGTTAGATGGTCTAAAATCAAAACTTGTACAGATACTGAATTGTACAAAATGATTGACAAACATTAAGGTGTGTTGGAAACCCACAATCAGTCGCTTTAATATTTAAGGTAAACTACTTTATCTTAAAATTCAAATCACAAGTCTTAGTGACTTATAAAGCAACATATGAAATATAAACATTTAAAGAATGTTAAGTTAAGCAACTTTGAGCTCGTTTGATGTTATTACTAATGACCTCAACAATAGATTGATTGTGTTTAAAAGGGTTTATCATGTGAGATCATTAACTGGACAACACATAATGAAATTTTTTAATGGAGCAGTGATTTTTACCTCAACATTAAAATTAAAACTTCCGCAAAAATAACAAGTAGATTTCTTTTACATGGTCTAAAACTAGGCGTTGACAAAAAAATTGAAACTAAACTGTAACGAGAAGAATAAAACCATTAAAACTTGAAAAATACAATCAGTACTACGTTATTTCATCTATCATATCTCAAATTCAAATTGTCATCAGCAATTTGCTATCAATTTGATATTTTACTGTTTTACAAAAAAGTACGTTTTAGTGTGCTACCTTTTTTGGGACAAATATTTGGAAAGAAATCAAATAGATTGGCAAAA